ACTTGTACTCAGTCTTGAAAAAACTGGTATCGGGACATCCCTAATTTGTAAATTAGCTTAAATTTATGATTCCCTCCCATTACTTCAGCATCATGGCTCGAGAGCAGCTGCAGGTCCTTGTTGCATGTTTTGCAGGAAAGATTGAAGATTTGTTCCTCGTTTCAACCATGTTTTTTATCTAATGATAACCACCTGGCACCGTTTATTATATTAAATAAAGCGATCAAAAGGGGGGTTGAGGTCAATCCACCTCTGACTCCCTTCACCAACTCGTCTTGACCGTCTGAGACCTTTTTGCTCCTGGACTGTGGGACCCGTCAGTGCAGCCAAACACTCCTGTTTACTGCTGGTATTTTCTAGATCCAACTTGTTAAACTGGTCTGCTCGTCTGGAGTGTCTGTTTTAAAACCACTGATGTGTTATCTGAGCAGCTCTTATTGTGTCTGCTGCTCTTTATTTGTCTACATACATTCTTATGTTTACCTGCAGACAAAACAATGAAACCAGATCCAACCTGTACGTGAAAAATGGTCTGGTGTTTGAAAAGAACACGCACAGTTTTCCATCATTATTTATTCAGAGTTTTACAGAAGGTTTAGCTTCATGTGGGTGTCGAGTCAGCGTTTGTTTCAGATATTATACCAGTAAGGAGTTTTGTTTTAAGTTGAAGGGTGATTTCATTTCAAAGTGAGCTGTGAATTTGTTTAGGGCTGAAGAAAATATGAGTGAATACGGAGTTTAAAACAGTCAGGTTGGACTTTAACAGAGAAAATAATAACCAAAACTGCACACAGCAGAAAGGAAACCAATCATTTCATTATTATGTGGAGCCTCAAGGTGCCCTGTTGTCACTTCTTTCTCTTACAGGAAAGAACACAGACAGTTGCATGATGGGAAGAGGAGAAAAGAAGCAAAACAAATCAACTTAAGAAAAGGAAAACTGATTTCTTTCATTACATCTCAAAGACAGGCAGAATGAGCTTTAACCGCCTCTGCGTGTTTGTGTAATTATTAGCAAAAAAACTCACGAGCCACAAGAGAGGTTTTCTTTGGGTTTACGTCTACAATTCAATAACATCTGGATCAACCTGATTTGAGATATCAACCACAGTTGATCAACCCGAGAAACACAAAAATGACTAAATATTGGACTCAACCAGTGGTGGGCACCAGCCCGCCCGCTAAAGCACAAATCCGCTAATTGCGGACCTAAATATTTCATTTGCGCTTTAGCGGTCTTACTAATTTTTATAATTCATAAGCGGATTTGCACTTTCTAAAATTAAAATGCAGTACCACTAACTAATTATCTACCAGTCATCATTATCTTGAACAGCGGAAGTTATGGCTGTCAATGAATCACAACACACATGATCTATCCAACAGCGCCCCTCCCAGATAAACACACTTATTGACAGTGGCGGCTGGTCCATAGGGGGCGCTGGAGCGCTGCCCCACCTGACAAGAAGAAGAAGAAGAAAAATATAAAATATACTTTTATAAATCTAGTTGTAAATGTTGGTTTTACTCACTAGTGTGTGTCTACATGTAATATGAATTATATCAACTATATTCTCCACCTATTGACATTTATTCACCAGTAAATTTCCACAAACTGGTTDCGTTTCTGTCATGGGGCGATTCACAGASAGACCCAGGAGAGCAGTCTCTTAACCAGTCTCATACAGTTGCTAGGCAGATTAAAAATTAAATTGGCCAATCAAGTGTTGCGGAATTTTATGGTTCTGGGGCTCTGCAGATTTTGTCCTAGCAGAAGAGGTTAGAAAAAAAAAACTCGTCATAGCGCCGCAGGTCGGTAGGCGGAGTTTGGAGACCCATTGGAGAAATGGAGAAGCTAAAAACAACTCAGCTAAGTCTCTTAGTCTTAAAACAAAACCTTTTCAGAAGAGAACACACCAGGAGAAACTTTAAATAGAAAAGCGACCTGATCAGAAGGACATGAAAGAGACAAAGACAGAGGGAGAATTTACACTTTTCCAAGTCCTGGATTAAGCTAACTGCTTGTAGCATGGCTACTGCTTTGCTTTGACTGCCTCGTTTTTCAAGCATCAAGATCTGCCCCAACATGGATTAAGACAGGTGAGTGAAAAGCTAAGACTTTTGTAATGCTTGTTAATCATATTTGTGCTATATTGATATATATTGTTATACAATAGTGTAGTAATAGTGAACACAACTTAAAATATGTAATGTAATGTAATTTAATGTGAGGTGAGGTGAGGTGAGGTCACCATCCTGACTTTAACCAGAGTCATGAAGAAATTTGCTTCCCAGTAAAACAAGGGCAAAATTTATGTACAAAAAATAAAACTCTACATGACATTGTAATACCATTTTTAATGCTTTTAAACTATTTCAGTTTATTTAATAAATAGCCTACACTGACGTGACACAACTTAGTACATGCGTGGTTGCTTTTTGAGATATGTTTATTTTGGAGTTGTAGCCCCACCTGGAGAAAAATCCACCAGCCACCACTGCTTATTGAGAAGGTATACATCCTTGCTGACTGTTGATTTCGGTCAGGGTTCTCATTTCCCACAATGCTTTGTGTCTGCTTACGTAGCAGGAAGGCAATGGTTAGAAGTCCCTGTCCCAGCAAAAACAGTTAACATTTGTAATCCATACTAAAATTTTGTATGTATTGATTTATTTTACTTTACAATCGGAGCTCCTTTTCTAAAAAAAAAAAAAAAAGTTTAAACGCTGGAGCTCAATACTTGATGTAATTGGTCGAAGCAATCGGCCAACGGGGTTGGAGACGCAGAAATGATTTAAAGATGTTATGCTGATGAAGACTGACATCTAGTGGTCAACTGGAGCAACTACATGGAAAACTTTAAAATCCAACCATGCTCTTATYTTGATGTGAAGATAGTTTCCTGTCCTCCGTGCTTTCGTTTCCCGTCACAAATCAAATTTGTCATGTACCCAGAATGCATCGCTTCAGTTTACCAATAAACAGTTTTAAAATTACTTTATTGATGCTTCTTTAATGAAAAATCTATACCAAACAAAAGAAAAAGACAAAGAAGCAGCCAAACTAGCAATCCTAAACACATTCAACAACTTTTTAATTTTTACGCCAAGAGCCAAAGGTCTGTTTCAGGAAATCACATCCCCAGCAATTGGCAGTTGTAGGATTAAGCTGTAAAATGGCTCATACACCACTAGTTGGCAGTGTTGTGCATATATTGTACATGAATTATTGCGAGCTAGTAAGTGTCAAATTAAACGTACTCTTTAAAGTTAGCTTCCGCTAGTTTTTCTTTGGCATAAGCACTTTTGAAGTTGCAGACCTAAATATTTTCATAAGCGCTTTAGAAATTGCGGCGCTAATTTTTGGATTAGCGCTGCCCACCAGTGGACTCAACGTTGGTGTGGTAGTAGCTGAGAGTAGGGATGCACAATATATATCAACATTAATATCAGTATCGGCCGATATTGGTCAATTTTTTGAATATCTGTATCGGTATGATATGTAAAACTGGGCCGATATCAATGTCTGATATTGATTTCCCACTTTTTAGCTTTGTTTTTCTGATTTAGGAGGGGAGATGGTTGGTTGAGCAGAATCTGTTTGATCATGATAGTGATATTTATTCTGCGTAGCCAGGAATAACTGCAGTAGAGAGCCAAGTCAGAAGTCTGGTTGTTTATTTACAGTATCAAAAAAAGACCCAAGTGTGTTTGTGTGTATATGTATAATATAATTTGTGTGTTTGTGTAATTTCTTTAAATATCGGTTATCGGCCATAACAGCAATAATTATATCGGATATCAATATCAGCTGAAATTCTCATATCAGTGCATCCCTAGCTGAGAGTCATCACTATCATGTAATCTGAGCTCTAGTCAGACTATTTCAGGACTTTGTTGTGACGTAAAATGTCTAATTTTCCAGCAGCTTTTTCTGAAAGCTGCAATCAAAGTTCCAACATTTTGCAGCTTTGTTTTATTCTTCAACTAACAAGAAGAAATGAATTAACAAGAACAGCTGTGAGAGTTGGTTATAATGTTTTCTGAAGGCTCCAGGCTCATATTTACTTGTCCCTGCAGTCAACACTTTTCAGTGACGGCACACCATTTGCTGACAGAGCAGCTGGTGAGGTCATTTTCTCTCCATTTGAAGCAGGGTTTCAGCTCGGGGCACATTTAGAATGTCAGACAGTAAACTTCTATCGCTCCAACAGGTTGTCTCTGATTTAAGGTGATGTAAGCACTTTTCTCCTCCAGTTAAGAGGAGAACTCCCTCTTGCTCTTCTTGATCATGTCTAAATTGCTTGTAGGTCAGCTAACTGAAAGGACTACACCCTGCACTCTGTTTCTTTGTCTGTTTCACTACAATGCTGTTCCCGGCACAAAACACTAACCTATAAATTTAAGTGGAAATATTCGCTCACTAATATCATCTTCTAGCATCAAATATGTTTTCATCATGCAGGCTCAGGTTTAAAGAAGTGAAATCACGCAGTGGGTGAAGATGATTGGTTGAAACTGCACCAAAAGCTGCAATTTCTATTTCACAACTGTCTGGAGGAAACAACGAAGAACATCTCAGTTTAAAACTCTGGTATTCATGAAGGACGGTGAGCGATGTGCACCCCTTCAAGGAGTGCTGGGTCTGATTCAGCCGGTGATGCAATCAAACAGTGATGTTTGTTGTTTTAACCCTGGACTCTGAAAAATCAAATACAAGCTTCGGCTAGTCAGAGAGCATTTTTTTCTTTGACGAGCACTATTATATTCTGTGAAGGTTTGTTTCAAACTTTATAAGACAGGGATTTTATAAACTTTTCTCTGCAAAAACTTGGGCTTCAATGGTTTAAATCAACAAAGTCAATTTGATTTTACAAATGGAGACAAGAAACAGTCTTTTTCTAAGCCTTGCAATAACTTTTCTCAGGACATCAGCCGCCTCCTTCACAGAAACAGTTCAACCAAGCAGAGAGGAGCTCCGTCAGAGCGGCGTGTCTCACCTCGCAGCTCTGCCAGCGGTTGGGGATGTTTGGCCGAAGCTTCTGCTCACACACCACCTTCCTCATCTCCTCCACCGACGGGTCGGACTGAACCAGGTCAAAGTAGGGCAGCTGGTAGTCCTCGTGAATGCCTGACAAAACAAAAGCCAGAGTTGAAACGAGGCTTCCTGCACTCCTCCATGCTCCCGTCACCCCGTTGTTTCATCTTCCAGTTCGTTCCTCACCTCCCACCGAGCAGCGGCTGGAGATCTCCCAGAACACCAGGCCCATGGCGTAGATGTCCGCCCGCTTAAAGGACTCAAAGTGTTTCATGTTTATGGAGTCGTCCAGGACCTCTGGAGCCATATACCTGAGAGATAACACAAGAATTTATCTGATACATAATGCTACACGTTTTATTTATTTATGTATATATTCAGTCACTTATATCTGCAACACATGCAGGAGTATCATTTCTTGATGCTGTCTTTAGATGCTGAATATTTCAGGAAGTAAAGACTTCACAGCTCTAATGACCACCTGATAAGTGGTTTTGTAAAAGTCATTTGTTTACAGCTGTTAAAAGCTTGTTAAGTGTGTTTTCAGCTGCAGAAGTGTTCGTTGGAACAATCAGGTAAATTACAAATTACGGGCCTGAATGTGTCAGCGGCTCAATCCCTCAGCGCTCCTTAGAAATAACGCAGCCATTAAATCTAATTTAGTTAMCTTTTTAAAAGTAATGGCCTCTTGTGCTTCAACTCAAAGCCCACACCTGACGAGCAGCGTTGCTCTCAGGCTAAATGAAACACACGGTCCAAATCGAGGGCCAATTTTAGCTGATTAAAAAAAAAATGGTCCGTCTGATTGGAAGGACATCTCTTGTGCACCAAGATCCCCTCGGGTCACCACACAGATTGTGTCACAGATCTAAACTCTGAGGAGGACGATCTAAAACTTTTATTTCCTTCTGGTGAAGCAGCTCTCACTGCAACAACATCACAGTCACCAGGAGTGGTGGTTCATAAAGGCAGGCCAAACAAAAAAATTAAAAATAAAGGAAACATTTGCCCAAGTTGTTCCTCCAAATAAATAATTTATGATTGAAATTTTTAGCTGTGTGTCATTTTGTTCTGTGCTTTTTTGACCATTATGAATGGAATTTCAAATTCTTTTTGGTGATTGATACTCTGATATGGTGAGACAGGTCGTCATGCAGATTAACCATAACCTCTTTTGGCAGTGATTAGAAGCACAACAACTTCCAATACAGTTTCATCAAGGAAGAAATAATTCTGCCCTGTGGACACATTCTGCTGGTTTTAGCTCATCGATGCGGCCACTACTACCACCGTGACTAAATTTAACTTTTCTGCACTCTTACATTGTAAGAACAAAACACAACAAAATGTGTTTAACAACTAAAAAGTGGGTTTTGTACGATATGTCCCTTAAAAATCCATATGAGAATAAATTTAGAGGAGAAAAATGATCAGCCAGTAACTTGCAGCAGACAGACTAGATGTAAACAGAAGGGACATTTTCTCTAACTATGGTCAGTCTATTCTCTGTGTCCACCTGCACTTATAGATCGCCCACAGGTGGATCTATTTAACTAATTATGAGACTTGTGAACAACTACTGATTGTCACTAATGCAAAAGGTGAGCAGACAGGACGAATGTGTCCAGACTAAAAAACAAAAACCTCCATCTGGACATTTAGAAAAAAGCTTAAAGGAAACCAATTATGGGTCCTAGAAATTTTTTATGGTATGTCTGTGGGCTATCCAGACCATGTTCATTCAATTTAATGCACAAAATAATTCTCAAATAATAAAATTTCCCATTTTCTAGTTCTGTCTGCTCTGACTTCCATTCAGAAGAGCTGTTTATGTTAATGAGCTCTGTTGGTAACGCCCTCCAAAAATCTGTTGACATTAACTCCGCCCTCCAAAGCCAGTGTTTACGTTAGCATGGCTAATAACAGCAGAAGCTCTGTTGTACAACCATATGAGAGACCCAGAGGCAGAGTCGTGGTCGCAGCTTCTTTTTGTCCCCTCTCCCTCCTCTGCTCTGCGCTCACTCTGCATGCTGTTACCAGAGCAGGGAGCAGCAGTCAAAATACCTCAGAAACTCGAACAAATAGGCTTTAACAAGGCTTTAATAAGCTAAACAATAGAGGTACATGAGAAAACGTGTCCATAACAAATGAAAATAAATGATTAAATTGTGTCCGTTCCGGTCACGAACCCTGGTCTCCCGCTCTCTGGCCCAACACTCTACCTACTGCCCTATTGGAGGGTKGTTGTGAAATGAGSTGCGCATTGGACAACACCGTGACGGCTTTTTATACTGAGGAGGTGGAGCCTCACCCGGGGGTTGCTAGGTAAGGGGCTGAACGCAGGATGTGGTGGATTGTTGTACGGCTTGTGACATCACAAAATGACGGAAGTATAAAACTTGTCATGAATATAAATACATTTACTTACAGTAAATATGCCCCTGGGTTCAATTGTTTTGGTCCTACGACTATTTTTTAAGAAGTACATACCCAAAGTTGAGTAAAAAAACCTTTAAAAAGTGAATTTTGCATAATAGGTCCCCTTTAATAGCTGCTCAGAGTGAAAAATAATCCCTGATGATTGGATTGAGTTATTATTATTAATGAATGACTCTCGTACAGATCAAAAGAAAGCAGCTCCTTATTAAAAACGTTCTATGACAAAATAAAAAATAAATACTGAAAGATTGGCCTCCAAAGTGTGGCTTCTTCACAAAAACCAAAAGAAAATAAAGCTTTAAAGGTCTTGACTGGCATTTACTCCAAACTAAAGCAGAATTGAGCAGATGGGTATATCTGAGCCACGTGTTAGAGAGCATCTTCAAGTTTTAAAGGCAATTCATCTTTTTTTATAGATGAAATTAAGGCAAACAAAAAGCCTGTGAAATCTCCAACTGGTCATGGACAAAGTATCTTCCAGGCAGGTTTCACCACGCATCTTATCTGTGTGTTMAGTAAAGCTGCAGGCAGTGGGAGTTAAGTGCTTTGCCCAAGGAAACATCGACACGCTGCAGGGGCAGGGGATCGAACCATCGATCTTCCAATCGGAACACAGCTACTGGGCCAAGTTGCCCCCAAAACCTGGTAACTTGATGGACAGTGTTTGTTTGCCAAAACAATGCACTGCTGTGATTCAGGGGATTAGTAGTAATCGGATTGGAAATAAATTTTATTTTATTGTTTATGTTGAGGGACTGCAGATTWTAAAAGGCCTTTTGGCTAATTTTGGTACATTTGCAAAAATGCTTAATCCCACCAGCAACAATAGTTGCCAGACATTTTGTTTTACTTCTGGAAGTTCTAAAAGTGTCGTTTTGGCTTTGGACAGATAATTAAAGGTTTCATTTCATGTAGCTAGTGTGAATGGTCACATGACAAGACCCCTTGACTTCCTGCCTGCCCTGCTGGAGCGAAACRTCTACCTCAAACTGGTACAAGAGGAAGTGAGTAAAACACCTTAATAAGCAGATATAACTGAAATATTTTGTACATTTATTCTTTAAAAAGCCTTCTACTTATATACCTGCATGCATCTTTTGAGCGTGAGAAGAGTAAGCACAGCAACATTTATTGCAGCTAGCATACCACATAGCACTATGCTAGGTGTCAAAGGTTTAATTTTTTATTCTATTCTTCTTGAGTTGTTAGTTTTTTTTCCACACAAATTCTAACTATAAGATGTTTTAGATCTTCTAGACCCAAAAGAACCCAAAATGAACTTTTAACCGTGTCTTATTATATGTTATGCATGTTATTGTTTTTCATGTTTTTCATGTGTGTAAATAGGTCAGATTAAACATTTTTGTGTAAATTTTTTAGAAAATGCCGTTTTCCATCAGCAACAATTGTTTCCAAGCACAAAACCTACATTTTCACTAACATAGTCAACACAAAATGAAAAAATCATGAATAATTTGTAAAAGGGACGCCCAAGGATTGAAATGCATGCACTTATTTTGAAGGGAAAAATTTGGGTTAAAATGAGTTAATGATGTACAATATCCCTGCTAAATAAATGAACAAAGAATTATCAGTTACAGAATCTTTTTAAGAGTTAAAATGTCAGCATTAAGGCAGTTTGGTGTTAGATTACTATCTGATCTGATCTGATCTTCAGTACTGAACACAGGTTTCACCTCCAGGCTGGAGAATCAGCTTACTGAATCATTTAATAAGCTTGTAACCAGCCTGCAGCATTAAAAAACACACAAAATGAAGCAGGAGGAGAAGAAAAAGCTGAGCAGGATGCAAGCTCTGCAGATATCTCCATGTAAGGAAGAAAAGGAAAGGACTGTTTGATAAAATGTCCCGCTCACTTTCCAACCCTGTAGCTAGACACGTTTTACAGAAGAAAACTGATGTGAGGAGTGAAAATACAGTTAAAGTCACAGCAACCTGGATGACATTTAACTGAGTAACAGAGTAGTGAGGTGGATGTGTCACTGTTGCATTTTTCAGCATTGAGTCGGGTAATATTAACATCCACAATGTTTTTAATTTTCTGTCACCTTTAAGGAAACCCAGACAAGCTGTAACATTAGACATTATGTGATAAACATTTACTTCAACTGTAAAACAAAGACTTAAAATAGATACTGTATATATAT